TCAAAGATTCAAGCCTCGCTCGCTCAGAGCAAATGTGGAGAACTGATGAGAGGGAACTAGTCATCCAACCCCCCCCCAAACACTGCCTTTAGCATTCTCCACAGGAGCAGAGGAGTTAGGTGTCCACCCCTCCTCTGCAGCCCCAGAGAAGGACGAGCCGATGCCCTGCTGGCTGACTCGCAGGAGCATTGTTCTCTTACTGATTGCTTTTTCTTCAGAGGAGGAAGATGCCCGCAGGGGGTTGTTGGAATGGAAATGGAAGAAGATATAAGGAGGTCGGTGCATTTCCTCCCATCCTCCCGGTAGGATCATATATGAAGAACACGATCTGGTCAGGAGGAGGAAATGGCTGCTTTTAATTGACTTACTGATTCTAGAAGGCAGCTATATGCCTCCCTTTCACATTTGTCTGGTAACCCTTATGGTAAAACAAACTTTCTTTTCAGGGATAACATTAGACGCTCCACTTGAATCGATCCACACATCACACATAAAATAAGGAAAAGGGAGAATCCTCAGTGTATTATGTTCTTGAATTTGCACAGCAAATATTTCAGCTATATTACTTTTGCACAGAAATGGACGTGACTGGGCATTTGTGCGCTCACTGTTTGAACTTGTGTGTGCGCGCGTGTGTGGTCACCGCTGTATTTATTTGCGTTTAGCTTAGCGGCGAAAGCCTGTTGACAGTGAGCGGCTCAGCTGTGCGCCTTCCACGAGCCCATTAGCGACGAGTTAAGTGAATAAGTATTCAAAGGGAAAAAGGGCCGCGCGGCCACTTATCCTCTTTCAGTTCAAGCAGCTATTCCAGTCAGGCAGCCGCAAGACCTCCAGCCATTATGTTCTTTAGAATGTAGCCACACAACTGCCATTGGACGTAGATGTCTAGAAATAATTGCATGGCGAAAATGTTTTACAGATTCTTAAATGAGATTTGGTTAGAAAACCGAATGCCTCATAATTCCAGAGTAACGTGGCAGCTGCTGCTAGAAGGTCGCTTGTCTTTTTCTTTTATGCTAAAATTACTAAACCAATGAAAGAAGTGCAGTGTGGGCAGCTTGTGGAAAACAGACTGAACTAAATATTTAAGAGATTTCTGCTACACATACTGTAGGGCTAACTTATTTACTGTATTCATGATGTGAAGTAGATGTATGAGTTATTAAACACTGGCACATAACATGAATGACATGTATTGATAACACTATCAAACAAAATAAAAACATTTTGCTCTTTGAACTGGAGATGTGTGATATTGTGATAATAATGTACGACTCGTGTGTGCGCTATTGTTATCGCACCTACGAGCGAATTCACCTGTGAGCTCATTAAAGGGCACCATTTGTCGCACATAATGGCGCCGGGGTTGGCACTCTGAGTTGTTTACGCCGCCGTCTTCAACGAGGCTGATGGATGAATTTAAAAACTGCTCGCTTTTTACTCGCCTTAAGACGGCAGATCTGTTTCACAGCACAGCCATCTGGCAATGTTTCCCCG